GGCCAGTCCATTAAGGATGGCCTCTTTAATAAACTTTTCTAAGATCTTCCCTGGGATAGAAGTCAGGCTGATGAGCCTATAGTTTGCTGGATCCACTTTCCTCCCTTTCTTGAAGATAGGCACCACATTGGCCTTCTTCCAGTCTTCAGGCACTACACTGGAGTGCCAGGAGTTTTCAAAGATCTGTGCCAGAGGCTGGGCTATGATGCTCACCAGCTCCTTGAGTACCCTGGAGTGTATGTTGTCAGGACTGGCTGCCTTGAAGGTATCCAGCTTCTCAAGGTGTTCCTTCATGAGGTCAGCATTAATGGAGGGCAGGGGATCTCCCTCACCCAGACCTCCCTGTCTCATAGTGGGCATGGGCGTCCCCTGGGACTGATGAAAGACCGATGCAAAGTACCCATTTAATAGGTTGGCTTTTTCCTGGGTGTCAATTGTCAGTTGCCCCATCTGGTTCAGCAGGGGTCCAGTGTTGCCCTTGATTTTCCTCTGGCTCCCCCCATATCTGAAAATGGACTTTTTATTGTCCTTGATTCTCAAAGTTAGTTGGAGTTCAGTTGCAGCCTTGGCTTTCCTGGTTTGCTCCCTGCAGGACTGGACCAGTGCAGAATAATCCTCCTTGGAGGTGAATCCCATCCTCCATCCTTTGTAGGCCTTTCTTTTTAGCCTCAGGAGGTCTGCTAGATCCCTGGAACCAACCAGCTATTAAGTTAGTGCTTAAAATGTATAAAAACTCTTTAGCTGGTTTCTAACCAGCTTTAATCTGAATGTCCATAGACACATTCAAAATGTTTTCCAAGCAATTCCTGAGCTTTCATTTAATTTAATCAGAACATCTATTTCATTCCCTATATTCAGGTTCAGATTTTCAGCTGCTATAAATCACTGGAGTTTTGATTACATTTGATTAATACTAGCTGGCCCTTGGATTTTATTTACTCCTTCTAAGTTTACCATCTGCATCACTTTGTGAGGTCCATGCTCACCAATATGCTACAGTGCTGCTCAGAGATCAGCTTCCCAGATGGTGGAGGAGAGCCAAGAAGCAGTTACTTCCTAGACCAGGTTATCTTTTCTTGTTGAAGTTAAGAAAAGTTGAATGCAAATCATGAAGGCAGAGATGTAGTAATAGACATTTTGTTCATCCTTCTGCTGAGATAGATTGTTTTCAATAGATTTTGCAACATTTGATTCTCACCTCACCTCAGCTCACCTTCATCTCCATTTAAACCACAGTTCCCTGAGGCGGGTTCTCTGATACTAGCCACGGTTGCAAACTTTATAAAGAACATCACCTACTAGCAGGTGTGCACTTTTTTATGAGTATTAGTATGACAAAAGAATAACAAAGCTAGCACTGAAATATATACAATGAAATAGGATGCTTAATTCCTGTTCATAGTGAATAGCTGGCAGTGGTTTATCTACTGACTCTTGGTCTCTCATTAAAACACTAGTTTTGTGCAGATATATATCTGCAATCTCAGAAAAGATGTGTATCCATAATAACCTATGTCCATTTTCTGTGTGTTCATAGCATGCTTTCCAAGTATGTCTGGGGCTGATATCAGTGACTAGCAGCATAGTCTTTAGCAGGGACTGGCAATCTATTCAAGCTGTGGCCCAGAACAACCCAGCTCCACTCCAGCGTAGACTGGGTTGCTTTGCTGGTGCATCAGCAGCAAGGGAGGTTTGCCTGCACCCATGCTGAGACCACTAGACTGGGCATCTGGGAGCTTCCCTGCCACCACCACGACTTCCCCAGCCCCCTGCTCCTCAGCTGGGGTACAAGAGGCAGCTTCCAGGCAGAAGCCAGCTGTACTGGGGCAGAGCAATTGGGAACTTAATTGACACTGTTGTTGCTGTGTTGTTGCTCCAGCCTCCTGATCTCTGGCTGCTGCACAGGCACAGCTTCCAGCCAGTGGGGAGCTGGGCCAGGGCTGGATGGCTGGAGGCTGCTTCTGCACAGGTGTCACTTCTCCCCACACCTCCTCCCACCCTCCCAGCTGCAATCCAGGTACAGCTAGGGGCTGCCCAGACCCATCTCAGTTCACACTAGCTGGAAGTTACATCCATGTTGCAGGTAGGAAGCTGGGGGGTGGTAGGGTAAGAAGCAGCAGCAATGTAGGTGCACCTTCTGCATGCCCAGCCCCAGCATTAGAAGTTATGCAGTTAGAAGCAAAGCCTTCGAGCTCTGTGGGCCAAATCCAATGGCTCCATGGGCTGGATCAAGTTCACAGGCCATTTATTGCCAACCCCCACTCTGAAGGCCAATTCATTAATTATATAGACTGAAAAACAACAAAGCTATTTTTCAGAAGCAAGATCCATTTAAAAAGTCTCCAATCTTCTACCTTTTTACTTTTTTTCCCTAATGCAACCAGAACCTGAGAGAGAAAAACAGGCAACTGAGCCAAGAAAAGAAAGGTCTTCTCTGCCAAATAAAACAACAGAATGAAAAATGGGAGGAAGAAAAGGTAACTAAAATGAACTTGGTTTTCTTTCTGAAGCAAGCATCTGATCTTATGTGCATGATGGCATGTTCCAAGAAGCTAAAGTGACTTAGAACTATAAACCCCAATGACATTCAATATGACTTTTGTTCCTAATATATCATTTAGGAAATCGTCAAATGTGTTTGAATGCCTCATACATTGGTTACAAGGGAGTTGGACCATAGCCACTTACATAACTTCCAGCAATATTTTATTTATTCTACATCATTCTTCTTTTTATTTGCTTATAATACAACAATATTGCCCTTTCCCTTTCTCATTTTGCATTGTCCTTCTTTGGAAGAGTCGTGAAACCAAAGAAGATCCAATGGTCTATTTTTTTTAAATGAACAAAGTATTTCTTAATAAAGAAATAAGACTGGGAAGATTGTCCCTGTTACATCTGATTTATACCTGCTGTAGAGTTGTGAAGTATCTGGATATCTGGAGAAACTGCTTAGCAAAAACATCTTATAGCTAGGTGGAGAAGTTGCTATGGAAAGGCGGGTGTGGCCAATGTCCTCTGGGTTTGGGTTATTTCCTACTGATAAAGCACACTGTTAGAAATGTGAGCATCTGTTTCTAATTTAAGAAGTCCTAAGTTTACACTTACCTGAGAAAGAGTCTCAGGAGTGCAGAAGATGCCTTTGAAATTGTGGTTGGATAAATCCATCTTTATTCTCCCTTCTCCACTGCACCAAGTGCACCTCTGACTGCATTATTTCTTAAACATTGTTCAACATTGAGCCATAAAGGATTTTTGTCTTTGCAAGAAATGAAAGGACTTTCATCCAGCTTATTTTGCAAGACTGCAATGACTACATTGCACACTTTCCTTGACAGATATTGTTGAAAATTATGAATGCCTCAGGATGTAGTGCACTGCACTGGAGTGTATTAAAGGGGTATTATCCAGTGCATGTGTTGTAACACACTTCACCTAATCCTTATCTCCCTTATGCCAGCTATACACTGTTATAGCTGTATCAGGAGTTAGTCCTGATTTATTCAGTGCAATTATGAAACAGAATTAGGCTGCCTAGGTGGAACATTTTCAACCAGGACTCTGTGTCTTAAATGTACGAGCGTTTTTATATGTGATTCTTTTATCATCCTGTTGGAAATATGTCTTGTTTGCTGGTATGGTTCTCCTTATTTACATTGGTCTATACACTTTATTTCCAGTAACGTCATTCACTTATCTCTAACATAAGGAATAATAGAACAGTTTTAGCACTGTCATTCCCCCTCCCCTCCACCTTGTGGCATAGTATCTCACTGGGATTTGTACTAAATGTCAACTTTGGGTCAACAAGAACACTTAAGAAGGCATTGCTGACTGGGAATTCCAGGGCATAGCCCTCCAGTGATTAAATGAAATAACTGTGTGTAATAGCTGAGTATCTTTGTTCTTTTATGGGTTTAGTTATCTCACAATGACTTTATTTGTTGTCCATGATCAAAGCTCTAATGAAATTGTTTTTCTGTGGGTGCCCATTAATTTTGATCTCTTTCAGATGCCATTTCCATACCAGCAATTCTCCTAATAAATAGCCAATCAAAATTCCTCTCTATATTAAGGAAGTTGAGATATGTTTTCATGCCAAAGAACATGCTTTGTAAGAAGAGTTATAACAGCAGGAGTTTCAGCCTAAATTCTTAATTTTCTTGTGACTGTAGGTAAATCACTGTAGCAAAATTCCATTTGCCCTATTTATACAACAACACAAAATTTGGCCCTGCTGCAGGGGAAGAGGAAATGATGCTGGTGAGGGGAATCCACCTATGCTCTGGGTGAGCTGGGACTGAGAACAGCCCCCTGCTGCCATTCCATCATCCCCCTGCCTCCATTCCAGCACAGAAATCAGTGTCACTTAAAACATGTGTCCCAAATCAATTTCACCTAAAACATATGTCCCAAGCTTCCAGGAAAAGTTTGTGTGGTATGAGAATAAGTGCAGTACTCTTTGTCCTGTTCCCTGCCACCACAGAGAATAGTCTATCACCATGTTCTGGATAATCATCCTCATGGGCTACTGGTGCCACCTTAGTCGGGGGGGCATGTGCCACCCCAGTGATCAGTCAGTGACCGGGGGGTCCCCCATGGCCAATCTTACCAGAGGGGGTGGGGGCCTGGAGCCACTTCTGGAAGTGGCCACAGTGCTCCCATTCCCTGGCTGGTTCTTGCAGGGGCCGGCACTCCCACCTGCCCCCTGTTCCTGTTGCCTAAGCAGCGAGCGCGGCCAGTCAAGGGGTGCTCTCAGAGGGTGCACGTGCACCCCCATGTACCCCCTACACATTGCCACTGACCACCCTTCAGTTGTTGTGGAAGCTGACATTTTAAGCAGAATTGGACAAATTCTTGGAGGAAGGATGCAACAGTACCTATTGAGCATGGGAGTGTCCTCAATACACTCCCTTTTAGCATCCACTCTCTGCCCCTGTGTAACACAGGATGCTGCATAAAATTGACCTATAGCTTGACCCAGTAGATGGCAATTAGTTCTTATGTTGTTGTGTTCTAATTTGAAGACTGTATTCAAATCAGTATCATGCAGGAAAAGTATCTTACTAATTTTAATTTAACGTCTGATATCTTTTTCCAAAATCATTGAGATAAAATGCTAGTCACTTTGAAATCAGTGGCAACTTTTCTATTTAACAGGGCCAGGATTTCATCTTTGTTTTGTTACTTTTTTAAATGCATATTATGATTTTTTTATATATTTGTTACCCAGGTAAATGTCCAGCTGTTTCTGGAATTCTGCTACATCTCAGTGTCATTTGTGGAGATGAGTCTTAATTTCACAATTTCAAGGGTGTACATATATTGTCAATTTGCGTAGCAATCAAAAAAGGATAGTAATCAAATTCTACTTTCTGCTTCTATGAAATACTATGGAATACTAAGCACACAATCAGATGTTATAAAATCTTTCAAAGAGTACAGTTTCCAGAAATAGTGATTAGGTAATTCCACAGTGCCACCTTTTAATTATGTTGTGCATAAAGACTTTTATATGTGATTTGTTTCAAAAGGCCATGTAAATATTTGTAACCATCTGATTCTATTAATGGATTTCTGAATGCTTTCATGAAATGCTCAGGAACACGAAACAGATGCGTTATCAGATAAGGAACTATATTTTTCATATTTAAAACCTACAATTTTAATTAGTGATATTATGGCAAAAAATACTTGGTTTCCAGGGAAGTTATATCACTGATTTCTAGAGCTCAGAGCAAAAAAATGGGTTTCCCATTCTGCATCACAATATAAACCATGGTGACTTGAGCTGTGTCTCTTCCCTGCCCAATACAGACCCAGCCACCCACCCAGCAAGATCCACATCAGAATATCCACTAGGATCTTCCACTAGGGTGTGAGAGAAGCAGGTTCATGTACCTTCTCTAAAACATGACATTCTGGGGTGTCTGTCTCTCAGTGATCAACCTGCTTACCCTGAGACACTGTCATGGAGCCTTGTTAATAAAAAAAGAAGAAAGCAATGTGCAGGATATTTGCCTTAAGGGCTACAACCTCCACGTTAGAACTTCTTAGGCATCTAAATTATGGAAGTTGTAAGGAAAAACAGAGAGAATAAAGGGAAAAAGGGCAATCTGGATAAATAGTGTTCCTTTTAGCATTCCTTCTTTGCCACTATAAAATATAGAAGGATCTATGATTTGATCTAATATGTCATTTTTTATGTTCTTAACCTCTGAACTTGGAAGTAGCCCTACTCTATTGAGCTACTAGGAATACTGCAAAGCTCATCTCTTTTCCAAGGTGTCTTGGTACAGAAGATGACTGATGGTATTTATGCTTAGAGTATAATTTGATTCTAATTGAATTTCTGCTTTTGCGAGAGTTTCTGGATTTTCTTCTGTTTGAACATGTATTAGTATTTTTAATATATGTAGCACAGAACAAAATGTCCTGTGTAAATGTGGGGGTTTTTTGTATTCAGATCAATATATGTCTAAAGCGTATGTATGTGTGTGTATTCATATCAATCATGGGCAGTTTCAGCAGTTGAAGGAGAGGACTATTAATAAACATATTAGATTATGTACGTCTAAATATATAAGATCATTTACAAGCATGCCTCAGTTATACGGTACAATCAGAATCAGTCCTACCTTAAACATTCTGGAAAGATAATGTCAAAGGAAAAATGCTTTTCCGTGATTCAACATAAAAGGAGAGTGACATATTGGGGACTGATCTTGCAGCCTTTACTCATGAGAATAATCCTTCCTTACATGACTAAGGTTTTAGTTCATCAGCTCTAAGGGGCAAATCAGAGTGTATTTTTTAAATTTCTAGAACAAAAGGACTCAGCTCCTGACTGAGGACTCTATTACTAAAATACAAAATTAATAAATTAAGACTAATCTACAGTTCCACTGCCCCAAATGATTGTATAAAATATAAAAACATTTTAATATGATTTTAGTGATTAGGAGAGATGCTATCGAGAAATCATTTGAATTATATTTGAGAACTCGGTTGGGTTGATCTCAGTTGTGCTTCCGAGCTAGGAACAGAAATTACACATGAATAATTACACATAAGTAATTGGAAACTGAATCAAATCTGTAACACAACAGAAGTTTATTGCACATAAAGTGCTTCCAAATTGTCCAGAAATGGTTTAAGATAAACCTAGATCGATGTAGTAACAAAATTAACTGTTGTACATTAAACTGGTTTATTGAAATTCTGTCCCAGATCCCCTCCAAATTAAAGTTTACTGACAGTCTCTGAGTATCCCAGGATACTTTGGACCTCCTCCACAAAGCCTCCTTCGCAGTGTGGGTGGGCTCTAGAGCATAGTGGCGTGGTCTAGCGCCCCTCTCAGCTTCTGGCCTAGGCCAGTGCAGGCATGTGGCTGCATTTCCAGAATCAAAAGTAAATGTTTGTTCACTTTTTCATTTAGTTCAATTGCTTAAACTAACCTTTGAAGAATGAATCAATTCAGCCTCAGGCTTTTTAACTGTCTGTACTTAGCCCCTGTATTCTTTTTCTAGCCGCATCTTAATGAAGTACTTCTATGATCTATCATTATTGTATATTATTGCACCCTGTTAGTTAGAGTACTTTAATGTAAATTGTGATTATTATTACTGTTGTTTTTTTTTTATTTTACATCTCCTCTGGAAGAGCTGCTGATACCTATTTCCAATTATGATGCTATCTTGTTTTTCAGATCTAGATCCTAGAGCATTTCTCTCAAACATTTATAAACCAAGCTTGTATGAGTAACATTCCTATCATGTTTTTCAGGCTTGGATCCTAGACCATTTCTCTCAAAAACTAGACCATTTATACATGGAACATGTTTTGAGTAAGTTTTATTTTTCAGACACATTGCTGCTTAAATGAGATAGATATATTTTCACTGTTTATTCTCTATGATTAGTTTATATTCACTTCCCATGAGCTTTCTTATGCTCTGATCCATGGCCAATTGAAATACATTCAGAGGCTTTCATTGGACATCAGTGAGCTTTGGATAAATGATTGGTGAAGTTGGAAATAATTATTTTTATGTCACCTGACTCCCAGAAGCATGAAAATGTTAAATGTTTATAGAACTGTATAGACCCTTTAAAATTACTTAATATTTAACTCAAAATAAGTGAACATGCTACATATTACACTTTTGATTTTTAGAACAGGGCTCATAATTTAACTCATGCTCACAATCCTGATCAACATTTATAATGTTATTTGAGGAATGTATTAAATCTTAGATGGTTTTTCTTTTATGATTTTTCCCACCCAATTCAGCTTTGCAGGAACTTCAGAAGATTACACTGAGTATGGAAAAAGTACAAGGGCTGATGAATTTCCAGGTGGACTTTCCTCAACAAAAAGCCTCCATTACAGCAGAAAAGACAGATACATCTGAGGTTTTAGAGATTAAAGGAGAGCAAGTAAGCATAACAAAAATATATTTGCTCTTCGGATAACTTTAAAAATAAATAAAAGCTATTCAAGTTCTTTTAAAGCCAGTCAATCTGTTTTAGTTTCATTAAAGTCATAATTAAACAAAATATAGATGTTGTTTTCTTGGACTTTAGCAAGGCCTTCAATATGATATCTCATCCTATTCTCATAAATAAATTAAGAGGCTGTGATATAGATGTTTATGCAGTCCAGTGAGTGGCAAATTGGCTTAGCAGTCATACCCAGAGAGTGGTAGTAGATGGGTCAGTATTGACCTGGATGGATGTGGGTAGTGGGGTCCTGCAGAGTTTGGTCCTTGGACCTGTACTCTTCAATATTTTCATTAGTGACTTGAATGTAGGTGTGAAGTCTACTGTCCAAGTTTGCAGATGATACTAAATTGTGGGGTGAAATGTACTCTCTGGTGGGTAGGGAATGATTGCAGGCAGACCTGGACAGGTTAGAAAAGTGGGCAGTACACAATAGGATGCAGTACAACAAGGACAAGTGCAGAGTGCTGCACCTAGGGCACAAAGTATCCAGCATACCTATTAGCTGGGAAGTGACCCTCTCCGCAGCACAAAAGCAGAAGGGGAGAGCAGAGTCATAGTGGACTCCAAAATGAACATGATTTGTCAGTGTGACAAAATCATCAGCAAAGCTAACCACACTTTATCGTGCATCAGCAGATGCATGACAAATAGTTCCAAGGTGGTGATACTGCCCCTCTATGAAGCACTGGTCAGACTGCAATTGTAGTACTGTGTCCAGTTTTGGGTGCCATACTTCAAGAAGGATGTTGATGGACTCGAGAGCATCCAGAGGAGGGCCACTCGTATGGTTAGGAGCTTACAGGACAAGCCCTATGAGGAGAGACTGAGGGACCTGTACCTCTTCAGCCTCCACAAGAGAAGGCTGAGAGGTGATTTTGTGACCACCTACAAATTCATTAGGGGGATGCAGCAAGGGATTGAAGATGATCTATTCACCAGGGCGCCTCTTGGGGTAACAAGGAACAATGGCCACAAGTTGACAGAAAGCAGATTTAAGCTAGATATCAGGAGAACTTCTTCAAGGTAAGGGTGGCCAAAATTTGGAATGGGCTTCCAAGGGAGGTGGTGCTCTCCCCTACCTTGGGGTTTTTTAAGAAAAGGCTGGATAGGCATCTGGCTGGGGTCATCTGACCCCAGCACTCTTTCCTTCCTAGGCTGGGGGTCAGGCTCGATGATCTGTTGAGATCCCTTCTGGTCCTATCATCTATGAATCTGTGAATCTAGTTATCCTGTACTGTATTAGCATTTGTGTTGTTATGCACACATGTACATGTTTTAAGAATGCTACTCTGGGAATGTTTCATTGAATTAGATATAAACAAAATTCCCTGAATAGCATGACTCCATGCCCCTTGAAATACAGACAATATTTTTGGAGTGCTGCTATTACTGCAGAAGCTCAAATTCTTAATTTTTTTTCTGCCAACTTCTTCAATTTTCATGCCAGCTGAAAATAGTTATCTTTTTATTGACTTTTCTTTCCTTACATAGAAAAAATATTTTTTCATGTATCATGTGCTGGGTAATAAAATTAGAAGACTCCATATTGTAAAAATTAGTCTGGCTCTTTATTAAAGGATCATTTACAGAGGGACTCAACTACATCCAGCATTCAAAGCATATGCATAGAGATGAATTTCTTCGTACCTCCTCCAATCTCTTCCACCTTGTAGGCTGTCCATTCCTCCATGTTCCAGGCATATATCTTATTTTTCATCAGTCATAGTGTTTTTTCTGATGAAGCCAAAAGCTACTACCACATTGTCCACCATAGAGATATGGCTTTCACTGCCAGTCCATTGTGGCTTGTTAGAGCTCATAATTTGTTTCTGCTTCTGTCTTCGTTCTGTAGGCTGGCATCTTTTTGGTCCTCCACAGTGTCCATATACCCCATTACTAACTTCCCTGTGTTAGGAGAGATGTTCCAGTGGTCCTGGCCTTGTCTCCATCCGTTTGGGTATGCCATCTGCCTGCTGCTATTCTTCAGTTGTTTTCATTTTGTATCCAACTGCAGTTTCAGCTGCTTCGTTTTTCAAGTCCTTTTTGTAGCAACACAAAGCCCTGCTACCTTGTGTGTAATGGCCTCAGGCTCATTAAAATCTATTAAAAGCAGATGTAGGAGATGGTAACATTGCCTACAGTTAATGTTGTCTGAGACTTTCTTTTGTAAGACCCCATTTCCATTTGCTTTTGAATTTGGCCATACTCTAAGAGATTGTGTTGGTATTTTCCATTCCTGTTATTTCTTTTGTGCTGAAATCTTTTTGTAAAATTCAAGAAAAAAATGATTCAGCTGTTTTTGAGACTGAGATTAAGGAATAAGACATGTTTACTTTGTTTTTTTTAATCTTTCTTTAATGCCATATGCTTCAAAGCACAAGTGTTAACTTTTGCTAACCCTATAAAAATTTGCTCAAATTTGGTCAAGAAATAAACCACTGAAAAATGTCACCTTGTGCATGCTCAGTAGAAACCTTTTCAAATCTGACTAAATATTCAGAAGGCTGTCTATTTGGAGAATGTTTCATCCCCTCACAATGAAAGCTTTCTGTATTGAGCATGTGCCATATTCAAGGAGGATGTGCCAACCCAGGTTCATCGACTGAACAGGACTTTCCCAGCAAGAGCTAATATAGCTTTTTTGTCCTGTGGGGCCAGGCCAGCTCTCAGGATCTCAAAATTGTGCTGTTAGATGGGAGGGTGTGACAATTGCACATATACAAACACACAAATCAATTAGGTGTATACACATACACAGCACATACACACACTAGGCACATACACACACACTACCAACTCAGGCACATACACATCCAAGTTCACCAGTCTAAGCACATGCAT